GGTCAAGCTGCTGACAACTATGTCTGCCAAGTGCAAAACGTTGATGTTTAAAAAGTTGCTGATGGTTTCATCGACCACCACAGCAAACCCATACTGGTCTGCCAAAGCGCGAATCCGTTTGAGGTCAGGTGTTTTGAGAAGAGGGTTACCTGGTGCCTCGGTAAAAAGCCCAAGGAAACGCTGACCAGCTTTCAGTCGAGATTCGAGATCATCTAGATCTTCTGAGGAGCCGTGACCATAGAATACGCAGCCTGGTCCCCACTTTTGGAGAATCTTCAATGTATCCGTGTAAGGGAAACCGAAACAAATTGACGGCAAATCGCCTCTAGTAGCCAGCAAGGCCTGATGAGCGTTGAATATGGCGCTCATACCCGAAGGGTAAAGAAGTACATCCTCCTCAGACATGCCGGCGACTCGACCTTCTGATGAAGCTGTCTCCAGGGCTTCTGGTAGTTCAGCATCGGCTGTCAAGACACCCGCAATACGTTTGCGAACAGCCAGTTTGGCTTGATTGGCGAGAGAAGTGCTGAGGTTTCGGCCAAACCGCTCCTCAATAAACTGAGCATAGTCTCGGCCGTCTTCAGTGTTCGATTTGGGAAGAGATTCCCCAACAGAGCCCTTTCTTGCTCCATTGACGCTTTGGTATCTGCGGGGTCCCTTGCAAGGACGCTGGGATATTGACTCCGCAGTCGCAAAGCCTTTGTCTTCCACCAAAAACCCGTCCTCCAATGCTCCAAGGCAGAACTCACCTCGTCGACTGGAGATGCCATTGCCCGAGTGTTGCCATACCTGCTTGGTAATGGAGGTATATTCCTTTGGGTAAATGACACAGGACAAGGAAGATGTCACTGTTGATCCAGCTTCGGTATGTGGGGATGGGATGAAGTTGACAATCCGTGCTTTGTATGCCTGGTCCGCGGGGATTTTGCTAAGCAAAAAAGAGTGACAGATACGCGCTGGCTTGAGTGATGCGAATAGGGTTGCAGACTCGAGGTTGGGGTCACCGATTCGGCGAACAATCTCCTGGGCGAGCTTTTGGATAATGGGATGGACGAAGAATCGGGGATAGCCGCATTTCATCTTACTTATGACCCAATCTTCTCCTTCTTCGTAGCCAACATTTTCTCTCCATGATGGAAGCGATACACTGACAGCCTTGTAAATGTTAGAAGAGTCATGGAGGGGTTGCGGGGAGATTAACCATACATGGTCAGTGTTTGGAGGCACAGGTCCTCCCAAAACCTGCAACATTTTCAATTGAAAATAGAAATCAGCTAGAGAATATGATGGAGGATATCTGCTTTAGAATGAAAGAGAGAGAAAGAAAGAAAGAAAGACTTTAAGGTTGTAAA